CATGACAACTGGACACTTCTGTTGCACATCAGACACTTGTGATGCATATTGAGTATCCCAGTGCATTCTGTGCATATCAGTGCTGTGATGCACCTGCTACTCCACCATGTAATAGATAACCTCTGTATACCCTAATTCAGATCTAGACTTTCCTGAGAGTCTTCAAAATTTGGGGCACTGCTACTCAAGTGTTGTGATCATGGACAAAACAACTGAACAGTGCCATCCCCCCTCTATGTAAACAAAGGGTTACACATCGGTTGGGTTAAGTTATATTCACTGCAATCAACATCATACAAGACTCACAGAGATTCTATGTTGTATTATTATTATTAATTATTCTTTGAATAATCACCCAGTAAGAATGACCAAGGTCTGAAGCAACCTTTCCACAGACATCTGTTTTGACATACAGCTGTTTCCTGGTCTGGAATATCTCTCAAATTCACCCAAAGCAGGGCAAAGTCAGGTTAAGAAAACCCAGAATACTTACTAGATGTCTATGAGTGTTGTAGGGCCAGCAGACACTGTATTTGAGGTGAATCCAACTTTTATGGATTGTGTAGACTTGTTCATAGTGGCTACCATAACCCTTGTACTTGAGGTGCCTGAACAGCGTTTCCTCCCTGTCCACAGACCTTATTCTAAGCCAGTTTAGATATCGGAAGTTTAGATATCGGAAGTTTAGATATCGGAAGTTTAGATATCGGAAGTTTAGATATCGGAAGTTGTAGGGCCAGCAAACACTGGATTTGAGATGAGTCCAACTTTTAAGGATTGTGTAGACTTGTTCAAAGTGTATACTTGAGGTGCCTGAACAGAGTTTCCACAGACCTTATTCTAAGCCAGTTTAGATATCGGAAGGTGGGGGACAGTTAAACTACTTTGGGTTTTAGTCTGAACATTAATGTCATTTTCCTAGGTGCCATTCAATACATTGAGCTATGTGTCTTGATTGTTTTACAATGCCATCAACTTAGAATGCTCAGACTCAATAAAGAAACAAAAGAGCTCACTCATTGGTAAAGATATTTAATTAGGAAAATGCTGAAATGGAATAAAAGACTGGCCTCGTTATCCATACAAGAAGAATAGGCAGGACAGATTTTCTGTTGTTGGAACAACTACCGATCATTGATTATTCAGGCAACTCCTTGAAACAATGCCAATGTGAGATTGCTATATAGTTTGTGTTTTTGATTGTCATCTTGTTTGTGCCATGCATCTTGGGTCACTCAGGAATCTTCTAAAATAAACAAAACGGGGGAAAGAAGGGGGGAAAACGAGTTATTCAGATATCATAGTTCATTGAAACCAGCCAACAGATGAGATCCTGGCATAGGCTGACAGCCAGCACACAATGTGGCCCAGTCAATACTTGGGGCTTCATCCCACAGAGCAGGTCAAGTGTAGGTTTTCCAGAAAACTTCATTTTGAAATTAAACTGAAGATGTTCCTACCTCCGCCATACCTAATCCTTCTCTCTGCTTTCTGAAAGATTTATTTGTTTGATTTACTATCACGTGGTGAAGACTTGTTTCCCTCACTGTCCCTCCCCAGTTTACTTTTTGAAAAACTTCTCTCTTTGTTCCTCTGGAGCTCAACTTACAGACCAAAAAACTTGGGCAACTCATACTCTCTTGACCTTGAAGACAGGGCAAATGCAGGCCCTTTCTGAACAATTGCCATGTCAGGCTCAATATTTATTTATCGTGTCATAGAATCATAGAATCAAGAGTTGGAAGAGACCTCATGGGCCATCCAGTCCAACCCCATTCTGCCAAGAAGCAGGAATATGGCATTCAAATCACCCCTGACAGATGGCCATCCAGCCTCTGTTTAAAAGCTTCCAAAGAAGGAGCCTCCACCACACTCCGGGGCAGAGAGTTCCACTGCTGAACGGCTCTCACAGTCAGGAAGTTCTTCCTAATGTTCAGATGGAATCTCCTCTGTTGAAGTTTGAAGTCATTGTTTCGCGTCCTAGTCTCCAAGGAAGCAGAAAACAAGCTTGCTCCCTCTCACATATTTATACATGGCTATCGTATCTCCTCTCAGCCTTCTCTTCATTGCAGCAGGTGGTCAGTGGTTTGCTCTTCTCCACACTCGCATGTCGTAGATTCCACTTTGTGGCTCCATTTCTTAAGGTTGGCTCTGCATCTCATGGTGCCAGAGCGCAGTCTGTTCAGCGCCTTCCAAGTCGCCCAGTCTTCTGTGTGCCCAGGGGGGAGTCTCTCATTTGGTATCAGCCATTGGTTGAGGTTCTGGGTTTGCCTGCCACTTTTGGACTCTCGCTTGCTGAGGTGTTCCAGCGAGTATCTCTGTAGATCTTAGAAAACTATTTCTTGATTTAAGTCGTTGATGTGCTGGCTGATACCCAAACAGGGGATGAGCTGGAGATGTCTCTGCCTTGGTCCTTTCACTATTGGCTGCTAACTTCCCGGCGGATGTCAGGTGGTGCAATACCGGCTAAGCAGTGTAATTTCTCCAGTGGTGTAGGGCGCAGACACCCCGTGATAATGCGGCATGTCTCATTAAGAGCCACATCCACTGTTTTAGTGTGGTGAGATGTGTTCCACACTGGGCATGCATACTCAGCAGCAGAGTAGCATAGCGCAAGGGCAGATGTCTTCACTGTATCTGGTTGTGATCCCCAGGTGGTGCCAGTCAGCTGTCGTATGATATTATTTCTAGCAATAGTCAAGCAGTGCTTCTTGTAGGTCAGACCATGGTCCAGGGTAACTCCCAGGTATTTGGGTGTGTTGCAATGCTCCAGTGGGATTCCTTCCCAGGTAATCCTCAGAGCCTGTGACTCTTGTCTGTTTTTAAGATAAAAAGCATATGTCTGTGTTTTAGATGGGTTAGGGATCAGCTGGTTTTCCCTGAAATAGGCAGTAAGAGCACCTAGAGCTTTGAAGAGCTTCTGTTCAACCATCTCAAAGCTCCCTGCTTGAACAGTGATGGCACGATCATCAGCATAGATGAAACTCTCTGTCCCTTCTGACAGTGGCTGTTCATTTGTGTAGGTGTTGATCATGGATGGGGCAAGCATGCTCCCCTGAGGCAGGCCATTCTTCTGTTTTTGCCATCTGCTTCTTTGGCCCTGGAACTCAACAAAAAGCTCCTGTTTTGTAGCAGGTTTCCTATGAGGCGGGTGAGGTGGTCGTCCTTTGTGATATTATACATTTTTCTCAGGAGGAGGCAGTGGTTTACAGTATCATAAGCCGCTGACAGGTCTATGAAGACAGCTCCTATCATCTGCTGCCTTTCAAAGCCATCTTCTATGTGCTGAGTCAGTTTCAGCACTTGTGATGTACAGCTTTTGCCTTTCTTGAAGCCAGCTTGCTGTTGAATCAGACATGGGTCTATTTTTTCCATAATTCTATGCAAAATAAGTCTCTCCAGAAATTTGTAAAGATGGCACAACAAGGAGTTTGGTCTACAGCTTTTTGGATCATTGTGGTCTTTGCCTGGTTTCAAGATGGCTATGACTCTTGCTTTCCTCCAGATTTTGGGGATCTGACAGGATGCAGTGCAGTTGTTCATCAGCTCCAGGAGCCAACGCCTTGCTTTTGGACCAAA